TATAAAGACAAAGTAACATAATATTAAATACGTACTCATTGATGTTAAGCCGAAAATGCTAGGATGCAAACATGAATGTACCCTATTTGAAAAGGAACAATTAATCCTAAAAAACAAACAAGCAAACAAACAAAAAACAGACAGAAAGCCCTGGCAGAGTAGCTTAGTAGGTTAGGTCTTCCCAATACACCAAGGTTTCAGGTCACAGCACATACAAGAAGCAACCAATGGATGTATAATAAGTGGAACAACAACTCTCTCCCTTCCTCTCTCTCTCTACAATAAATTAAATAAATACAATAAAGTTAAAGAGATTTAAAAATGCTTCCATATGCAAACAGACAATGTAAAAATAAGGACATTTTTCCCCTCTTATTTAACATCTTTGATGTCCATAGGCAACTTTAAATAGAAGTATAAAAATTATTTATTTTTCATTAACTTGCTGTAATTCTCTCCCCCTTTAAAAAAAGATTCTGTAAAATTTTAAAGATGTATTCTTGATCCATGCTAATAATTAGGACTCTATTAAACACTGATGAACTTAAGTCAGAGATTGAGGGTGTAACTAAGACCATAGCTAGCCCCCCCCCCTTTTTTTATTACCTGCAGCCTCTTAACAATATCTTCTGACTGATCCAAATGCTTAAAATCTTATTTCTGATAATTCCAGGAGCAGAACTTATAGGTGGTCTGTGAATGACAACATCCCATAAGCCTTGAGCTTTAATCATGCATCATTGAACATGGATCATGGATCACTAGGTGTGTCAAGAATGATTTCTAGCCCAACTAGACTGGTGCAGTGGTTGAGCATCGACCTATGAACCAGGAGGTCATCATTCTATTCCTGGCCAGGGCACATGCTCAGGTTGTGAATGATTTCTAGCCCAACTAGACTGGTGCAGTGGTTGAGCTTCGACCTATGAACCAGGAGGTCATCATTCAATTCCTGGCCAGGGCACATGCTCAGGTTGTGGACTCAATCCCCAGTGTGGGTGTGCAGGAGGCAGCCAATCAATGATTTTCTCTCTCTCTCTCCATTCCTCTCTGAAATCAATAAAAATAATTAAATAAAAAAGAATGAATTCTAGGTTCTACATAGTCTCATATAAGTAAACTGCCTGAAAGTAAAATAAAGTTGTTGATGGACATGTGGGCTATTTCCACCTTTTGAGTATTATGAATACTGGATGCTACTGCTATGAGCATTTGTTTACAAGTTTGGTGTGGACATGTGTTTTCACTTCTCATGAGTGTGTACTTAGAGGTGGAATTGCTGGGTCTTATGGGAACTCTCTTTTTGACATTTTGAGGACGGGCCAGACCATTTTTCTAAGTGGCTGCACCATTTTTCATCCCCACAAGCTATGTATGAGGGTTCCGCTTTCTTTGAATTCTCAGCGAGACTTATCTGACTTTTTTTGTTTTGTTTTAATATATTTTTATTGATTTCAGAGAAGAAGGGAGAGGGAGAAATAGAAACATCAATGATGAGAGAGAATCATTGATCAGATGCCTCCTGCACACCCCATACTGGGGATTAAGCCTGCATTCTGGGCATGTGCACTTGGACGGAATCAAACCTGGGACCCCTCAGTCTGCAGGTCAAGGCTCTATACACTGAGCCAAAATGGCTAGGACTTATCTGAGTTTTCGATTCTAGCCATTCTGAGTCTGTTGCTATTTCATAGTGTTTTTTTTATTTCAGCTATTTCTAATGATTAATGATGTTGAACATCTTTTCACCTAATATTTCCCTTTTAATAGCATTTTGGGAAGAAAAAGATAAGCAAGTGAGTCTGATCTACTGTGTTTAAGACATTATTATGGGTGACAGGAAAATTTTTCTTCTAAATATTTGAAAACACATATAGCAATGCCAATTCTGTAGGTTTCTACTTCTATACATTTAGCATGTTAGTATAGTTATTGTGTGATTAAGGAACAGCAGTATTGTGCACTAGTTTACTCTGTAAGATTACTTATTGTATGGAGTTGAGAGAAGAATTCTCTCAAATGACTTCTCAGTGTTGACTAAAAGGCAGATCAGAACTGATTGCCAAAACCTTTAAAGCTCCATGCTGTTTACATCTGTGGTGCTTAAGTGTATCCCACACGTGATAAATATCAAAAAAAGGGAGAGCTTGGACATGGGCACACAGCATATGTCTGAGATATAGATGACAAGATGTTTCAATGGGCTTTTTCACTTTATTGTAAAAATGGGATGTATTACATGTACCAAATGATAATTGTGAAAGTTGGGTGAGGGTACATGGAAAGATATAATGTTCTATCTGCTCTTATGCATGTGTAAGCATTTCTGTGTTAACAAGCTTTGAAAAATAAAAGACATTGGGTACCTCATAGGAGAGGGAGGGGGCAAAACGACACCTGGCAAGGGGGCATCAGTCCATCAAGATGGGAATTTAGCTCTCTCACAATAAGGTGATTTCAAGGAGTGTCATTCCTTTGAGGTTGGGAAGGAAACATCTTTCCATAGAAAATATGAAGGAAAAGAGAAAGGATGAATATGAAAGTGTGTTTTCTTTTAAGTGTTTGTTAAAAAGTTTCCATCTCATGGGTTCTAGCACATCCATTGAGCAAGTGGGAATGGCCTCCATTTGAGAAAATTGAGATTAGAAATAGATTTGAGAGGATTTGTAGAGAGAAGAGACTAAGGAAACAGGGAACTAAGAGCCATTTGTTTTGTTCACATGTTAGTAAGCACAGGATCATTATTTGTAGAATGAATGAATGAATTTCAGGCAGTTCTGGGGTACTATTAGAATCAATTGTGAGATTTACTCTAGTAGTAATCAGTTAGTTATAGGGAATCATTTCTGGAAAAACACAGAGTTGAAATTTCGCCGGGCAAGAAGGATTAAAGGGACCTAGAAGGGGCCCATTGTAGTGGAGCTTTTTAATGTTAGTCACTAGATAGGCCATCTAGTCTACCTTAGGCAGATCAGAACTGATTGCCAAAACCTTTAAAGGGAGGGAGCCAAGAGCTTCATGGAATGACAGGGAGTGAGTGGAAAAATGAAGGACATGGATTTGAAAAATTAACAATGGGCATCTATGCTGTAAGGATAGGGGATGAGGCCAAAGGGTCAAAGGCCAGGCAATATTATTCCTGATGGCAGAGATGTTCCTGGTAATAGGCTCTGTGTTAGTAACTGCACTGGGGTAGATGTAAAAGACCCTAAGATGAGGTGACATAGGAATTGTAAGGCTGGGTTATTGGCTGCTTGTCCATATAGATGTTAGAGCCCTCCACTGCCTGTCCACCTCTTCAAGTTCCCTGCCTTGGGCTCCATTCCACCTTTTTGTCCCTACTAGGACATACATAAATATCTGCATTTTTGTGTGATACTTAGCTTCAGATATTGTAAGGCCAATGACTTAACTCTGAGCAAAAAGTCTCTAGTGTGGTAGTTAGAGAGGGCTTTGGTGGACACTGGCTCTTGGTTGATTGTCATTGTATTGTTTTTTCTCCTTACACTCAGGATTCACAAGGCTTAGTTGAAGAGCTACCTGAAGTGCTCATGAGGTTGCTCATTCCATTTTTGTGTTTCAGTCTGTACAAGTGGGTTTGCTTTCCCTCCAGACTACTATAATAAGAGTGGATATGTGTAGATTTGCACACACCCCCCCAAAAAAAGCATTCCATGGAAGTCTATTTTAAGCCCTCAAATAACTGTAACACTTGTGCATAGTCTAGAACTCACCTCTGGTTCATGAGCTGTAGGTGTTCTGGGGAGATTCATTATAGCTCCACCAAAACCATATCAAAGGTGGCATCTCCATCCTGATAGTGAACTGTAACACACTAAGAGCAAAATCCTATATATTTCCATCGAGCATGGATGAAAAGAAGGCACCGAGATCACCTTTCCCAAACACAGGGATGCCATGCCTGATGACATCCCTGCAAACATTGCTGCAGTACTCAAGGAACAGCCCTGTGCCTTTTTGGTGCGAGGCATCAGTGTGCTGTGCAGTGCTCTGACCAGCCTCAGCAGGTGGAGCTTAGGTCACTTTGAGGAAGCTGGGACCAAGAGAGTTTCCAATGTGGGGCTGATGAGGCATAAACCTTCGTTCCACCAACAAGGTTATTCTTTCCTCTCTTCATTTGTTCTTACTTTCTCACTCTAAGGCATCTTTTCCTTACTTTCACCTTTATTTGGACTGGGAAGTAGGTAGCTGCCTGAATAGCATTTTTGTCACTGATAAACTGAGTGATGCTTTTCATTAGAAAAAAAAAATCCCTCAGCCTGAAGAAATACCCAGAGCTCAGAGATGGAAACCACTTCCACAAGCTGACTTTCCAGAAGGCATACTTCAGTGTCAAGGTTAAAGTATGCTTCCCCAAAACATTACTGTGACCCACATAAATGGTGTCTGTGCTGTTCCGAGACCATATCCAAACCAGCCCAAGATCCACTGCAGCAATATCCCCCCAAACACTATTTGTCAGGGGAAAAACAATACCCCCCAAACACTCCTATTCAGGGTTCACCCACCTGTGGGATCCTCTGATCACTGACTTCTAAATAATGATTAAGCCACTGTCTCTTCTTCACTAACACTTTCTGAAAAATATACCCGTCCTTGATCTTCAGATGTGGAAGGCCTGTCTTCCCTGCTGCCTTCAAGGACATACAGCATTCCCTGAAGGGGAAGGTGTGGGCTGCTATCCATGTTCCTTAAGGCTAAGCTATGAGGAAGGAGACAGAGCCCATCTCCTCAAACCTCATCAGGGAGGAAGTGGGCTTAGGGGGAGGGCACATGGTATCTAGTTCTCAACAAGAGCTCCAGGGAATGGGCACTTTTGGAAGCCAAAGGAAGCAGTCAGTAGGAGCTGACCTTACTCCTTTCTTTCCTTAAGCACAAGCCCTGAGAAACCCTTGCCCCCAACTCAGGACACGGAGAAGACATCACCATTATTCCAGAAACATTTATTAGGCAAGTCAGTATTCCCCACAAGGAAGGAATTATTTTGGGGTGGGAAATGTTTCCCCCTGGAAATTATAGAGAAGCATTGTATGTCTGAATCTTGGAGGCTGCTCTCTGAACGCAGTGCCTCCAGCAGTGGTGAGAACAGCAGGAGGCCCCTTGGCAGCTTGAGGCTTGGAGGTGGGGCTTGGATGGGGCACAGTCCCCCTGAGGGATACAGATTGGGGGTGCTTCTGACATACTCGATGGCCCTTTATTGCCATATCTTTTGAGGGGGATCTGTCCTTGTTCCCAGTATGTCTAATACTTGTAGATCTCTGGTGATCAGAGATAGCTGCTTGGAAGTCAGACTTCTTATTTGTCACATCACAGGGGGGAGCCCTGTGGTGGAAAGGACGCCTCTGCACTGGCTCTGCCTGGGCCTGCACTGCTCCCTTCTGCACAGGCTTCCCCGACTGCACTGCGGAGGGAAGGGGCTCTTGGGGGCAGGTGGTAACTACTGCAGGCCGGCGCCCTCCTTTCTCTTCTGGGACCTTCCCCATGTCTGACATGACTCTGTGGACTTGCGCGGCTCCAGAAAAGACAGCTCTGCTTTTAAGTGGGCCTCTACTCTGTGCAGATGACATGTGCCTTCCCATTTCCTGGGTGGTTTCTTGCATTTTACATTTGATTGAAGGACGAAGCCTTTGAAAAAGGCTCTTCATTTTATTTAGCAAAAGGCTATCAGGAGGAGCCGTCTGTGTTAGGCTGTGGAAAGACTTGCTCCCAAGCACGTCCTCTAAGGCGGTGTCCTGAGAAGGAAATCTCTTCCCTCCAGGTTGGGAAATTCTCATTCGTGCATCTCCTGCACCAAACTCCTCATATTTGGGGCCTGTAGGCTCTGGGGGAGGGCACAGGATATCTTTCTTTACAGCTGGTGGGGAATTCTGATCCTGGCAGGACCTTAATGCCTGCCTTGGAAGCCAAGGTTTCTGCTGCTTCTCCATACTGACTCCGCTGTCCTCCGAATGGACATGCAGCACCTGGTGAACCTCCGTGTCCACACTGGACACACACTTAGCAGGAGTCAGGGGGGCTTTGTTAGTCAAGCTGTCCGAGTCACTGGACATGTCCAGGGGTTGGCCTTGGGCCTGGCTATGCTTCCTGCTCTCCAACTTCAAGTTCATCTCAGCAATTAGTTGCTTTCTAAGTTCTGATAAGTTAGGAGCTGGATCTGATATTTTAGATGGTGGATTTTCAGTGGTCACAGTGGTGTCTCTCTTTATCTGTTGGGAGATTCCTGGCTTGCTTGTTGTTACAGACTGACAAGCATCAAGCTCCTCAGCCCTGACTATCTCCCCGGGCACGGTGGGCATGGAAGCAGGTTTTGCTTCATCCCTATTTGTGGCCTGTTGCATTTCAGTTCCATGATTAGAATTCACACTCTTAGTCTTTGCTACAGGTTCTCTATTTGTTTGCCTTGCAGGCAGCTTTGAAGGTTGAATGTTGCCTGTGAGAGAACATCTCTGACTTGTTTTGCCGCGGATGGTGTTGGTGACAGGCAGAGGAGGTGGTTTGGCTTCCAAAATCGTCTGAATTTCCTCTGAATGTCCCCATTGAATCCCCCGTCCCTCCTTGCCCACAGGTGAGGTGGCAGGGCGGGAAAGATTCAGGCCAGGGGCTGAATTTTCTGTTCCCACTTGGTCACTGTGAAGTGATTCAGAACTTTTTCCCAGAGGCGTGAAGGCCCCAGATTTGGTGCTCACCTCAGAAATCACTTTGGTTGAGGAGGAAGAGTGAGGATTAATCAAGCCATGGGAGATAGGACCTTTCGATTTGAAGTCCTCTGTGGATTCAAGGACTTTGGCAGATAGGCCTCCCAATGCCTTCATAGGCAAGTTGGTATCGTGGTCTTCCAGCATCTCCCGTGCACCCGCCTGAAGGAAGGCAGGCTCCTGGGATGTGTTCGGGCAGTAGTCCCCACCCACTGATGGTGACAGACTTCTCTGTTTAATTTCCCTGTTGGATTCTATAGGAAATGTCTGCTGCATAGAGTGCTGTGAATTCTGCACAGTCCCAGGGAGGTGACCCTCACTGATTTCCCCAATTTTTTTGCTCAGGTGTACTGTCAGGAAATTAGCCAGTTGTTTCTGAGTTACATTCTGCCTTATCACTCTCTTCATATCAAAGTCATGCCCCACATCCTTATCTGAAGCACTGTCAGAGTCACTCACCGAGCCTTTTGGAAAGCTATCTAAGCTGTCTTTCTCATCCTCAGACAGCTGAAACACTTCTGAGCCCTTCTTATAGAAGCTTGCTGACGGGGTCACTCTATTGAGAATTTCACTATCCTGGGCCTTATACATAGAGATCCATGAGAGACCATAGCAGCACTTTGGCTGAGGTAAACCTGAGCAATCACACCTAGGCTTCATGAGTGACAGAGAGTCATGGATCCTGCGGGGAAGGCCCCACCGATGTTGGATGAGCCTCTTTCTAAGATGATGCTCAAATTTCTCTCTAAACTCAACGCTGAGAGGAAACTCGAAATGATCGATGGAGATGGAAATATTGGCCTTAGAGGGCCCGCAGTAAGGAGAGGTGGGAGCTGAAGGACAGCAGGCTTCCCAAGAACTTTGAACCAGAGAGGGTAAACCCCACAAGCCTTCCTGTTTCTTCTTTAACACATTCCATTCCAGTTGTTCAATATCAGATGAGGTGAGACATTCTGATTCATTCTGGGGTGTAAGGCAATACACTCCACAGACCTTAGTCTGGTGTATGAGACCAGATGGTAGGACTGGGAGTGGGGATTGACGGTGGACAGGGGGTTGGAGCTGAGTGAGAGGTAAGTAATGGCATAGGGGCATAGTTTGAGGCAGGAGTTGAGGTTGGACCTTAGGCAAGGATGGAGGTAGGATATAAGGAAGTCTTGGGGATTCTTGGCCTGTAAAGGCATTTGAGATGCTATTGAAGATTGTATAGTCACCCGGGACATGAACAGCAGAGAGCAAGGACTCGCTGTGTAGAGATGGAAGACCCCAGAAAAACTGGATAACTTCTTGCTTTAAATTGTCCTCCCAGGTCTTAGGATATGAGTACTGCTCTACTGAGTCATGCTCATCAGGGCTGAGAAAGAAGAGTTGTCTAGGATCTATAAGTTTGGCTGCAGAGTCTCCCACAGAAGAGATCTTTGTAGAATGGATGTCAGGAAACTTTTGATGGAAATCATATTGTGTCAAGGTTGAAGACAACAAGTGTTTGGTTTGGGGTGGGGGATGGTGTCCTGAAAATTCGGATTCTGAGTGAGAGGAAGGCTCTGTAGGCAGAGTTTGACACGATGGTGAGTGTGACAGAAAATTACTCAAGGTGGTCATTGAGTTAGAGGGGAGAACAGAGGATGGTGATGGGGAAGGCTCAGTCAGAGATGGTACGAGTTCTCCTGGAGGGACTCCTGGGAAAGCAGATGACTGACTGAATGAAGGCTCTGTCACAAGTGCTGTCACAGGAGCTGTGGAAACCACAGGGGACACAGATGGAGTAGAACCTTCCAGAGCCTTTGAGAAAAGCCGATTGATTTCAGTAGTTGCATTATTACATATGTCACAGGAAGGGTCTGGACATAAAAGTTGGCGAAAGTGAGTGGAATCATGATTCCGTCCCAAGGGGCTGCAGGAAACAGGAGGTAAAATGATGTGGTCAGGACCACAACAATTAAAGGAGGACCTACTGGCCTGATCAGGGCGGGGCCACCTGAAGCCTGCTGCCCTGACACATTGGTCCACATCCATGACTTCACAATGCACTCATCCCAAGGCATTCACTCACATTTCCGTTCCTATGGCAACCCCTCCCATCACTAGGGAAGGCTCCACTGAATCCCTAGAATAGCAAAGGTCAGGCACAAGAGAGCTCAGGAAAAAGGGGAGAAGACTATTCACCTTTTCAGGAAAGAAATCAGCTCCCTTTCCTCCTCCACTTTGCTGTGGTAATTTCTCGAATCTGGGAAACCAGGAGAGAGAGTTACATGTAATGAAGGTAGACACTTAGGCACTACACAGGGGGCCCTTTTTTGGGAGACCATTGGGATATTAGACTCTGAAAGCCCCAAGAATTATTAAGTGAAGTCAAAAGGGCAATGATATATTACTAAGGTTCCTATGTGTGCATTGCTTAATTGATAAAGTAGTTTTATACACATTATCTAACTTGATGCTCAAATCAACTCTGTGAAGTAGAGGGGCCAGTGGTCACAACAAAGAAGATTCTGATCATCCTGAAGCCAGACTGCTTTCTCAAAGTCAGGAGACAGAACTCTCTCAACATGTACTGTGCAACACCCATGGCCCAGGTTCCTCACTGCTTCTTACTCAGGGACAGCAGAGCAGGGAATCTGAGAAATAGCTCAGGTTCTGTATTTCCATGAGCATCTCCTCTGAAGGCTCTGTTTCATGACAGGGGCTGTATCTACCAAGTGACATAGAGATCATGGACCTATTACCTCATGGAAAGGAGATAGAAAGGGTCACCCTTGGGGAGCTCAGGTGGAATAGGCAGAACCTTACCTTCCTCTGTCCTACCTTTCCTTCTCCTCTTGGTTCTGCCTTGATGCTGAGAAAAAAAAAGGAATGAATGGTAGGTAGGGACTCATTTCTCTCCCTCCTCCTCTCCCTAGGAAACTCAACCATTTTTAATGTAAAAATAATGTCTCTCTGACCAACCAAACTCATTTTAATTAATAGAACTTGTGCTCCTCTTACCAATGTTTAAAGTTTTAAATTTTTCTTTCTTTGAAAAACTCCAAGAAGGATTTTGTCGTTGAGGTCCACACTCGGTTTTCTCAGAGGTCCTCTGCTCAAAGAGGGCATATAATCTGAGGCCTACAGTTGCTTCTCTGTTCCCTCCGATAGGACCCAGTAACCTGTCATGGTGCTCAGAGGCTCTCAGAGGCTCAGCACTGATTAGCCCAACACAAAGGCTTGGCCACAGGATGCCTGCCAGGGCAGCATGACTCAGGATGAAGTGCTGGTTAACTCTGATGTTCTACAGACTCCAAAATCTCTACATAGCTGCATCCAGAACTAGGGAATCAATGTGTTTGGAGCCAGAAACCTGCCACCACACCCAGATGGCCCATGAGCTTCATATGGAAACCTGAGTCCTTCCTGAAACCCTAGCCCTGCCTGGTCTCTTCCCCTAGAAGAGTGTTGTTCTGTTCTCTCCTCAGATGTCCCATGTTCAGTGTCTCTCTGTCTCAACCAATCTCATTTAGAAATGTGGGAATCGAAATAACAATAAAGAACTCTGTTGGGGTTTGCTCAGCTTTCCTTACCTTCTGTGTATGTTCTTTTTTCCAGAAGGTTGTGATTGATGGAATTCCCACGAAGAAAATGAAAAGGAGGGACAAGCTCAACAGCAAGATGGAAATTATGTTGAGTTCACTATATAAACATTCTGGGCAGAAGCTCAGATAAAACTCTTGTAGGCTTTTCAGAAGTAGGCTGAGTCCCATTTTCCAAATCACAATGCTGCTTGAAGTAACTGAGCTCTGAGAGCTCAGACTCTTGCCTTTATAGCCAGGCCTGCATCACAGAGCATTGTGGAGTCACAAGGGGCTTCTGAGAGTGGGGTCCGGTCCACCTTCAAGAGGGTGTGTCCACAGCCCTGCCCCCCAACCAGCCCAGCAGATTCCCTCTATCTCTTTTGGGCCTCTAGGTCCTTCTGCCCTACACTGTTATCCAGTTTTCTAATTCCCCGTTTAATATATCATATATTTACCTTAATGAATGCTCTGCGTGTTTCATCTGTAACCCAGGTATTAGCTGGGTCTCTTTTAATGTTGGAAACCTTGACTTTGGTCTCATCAGGTCCACTACCTTACAAGTCTGAAATACTCCCTGGAAATTTTGCTTGTGCTCAGACATTTACACTGAGGATCATATATGTCCTCAAATCCAACTTACATAAATGTGGGTAAAGAACTTGAAGGTCTTTTAGACTTCCATAGTTTTGTGAATGTTAAATAGAAAATTTTTTTTAGTAAGTTATAATTGAATAATAAAGTCTAAAATATCATCCCTCCCCCACCCCCCAGGAATACATTTCACATATGTTACATATATCCAACCCCTAAGTTCTGTAATAAAGCTCTCCGCAGGACATTTCAAGCAGACATGGAGGTGGCCGAGTTGGTGTGTCAGAATGTGATCCCCATACAACCCCACAACAAGTTCTCAGTTGAGGTACATCCCTACACAGAAGTCCGGGTCCACATATCAGACTGCACTTGGTTATATTGTCTACAAGGAGGAGTGTTTTCCAGAATCTTGACTAGAATAACGTGCTGCTATTTGAGGAGGATCAT